GCAATGGATGATAAACAATCAATTACATGCTCTTTATTACATATGCCCCCTTATCTTCTTATTTGATCACACATTTATCAACAACGTGTAGTCATACTTAGGAATCAAATATAAGTTGCAAGCAGTGATATTAAGGTAATAATACTCAACAGTGAATATACTCAGTGAATATATTCAGCAAGCGAATATGATCAAACAAATGAATATACTCAGACAAGTGAACATATTCACTTGTCGATCTACTCATGTCGATTCTACATGTTAGTTGTCGATATGTAAGAATGGTTGTCGATTCTGTGGGAAAGTTATCGATTTGGTGGGCAAGTTGTCGATCAACTACCGAGATATTAGAGAATGCTCCCTGCATTGCGTTTGTTGATGGAAATTGATGCCGTTGGGCGGCAGAGAAGAACTGGCATTGGAGGAGGAAACGAGGAAAGGGAGCAGACCCTTCATCAGCTTTTGACAGAGATGGATGGTTTTGAAGGAAATACAGGCATCATTGCTATTGCGGTGACTAACCGTGCAGACATTCTGGACTCTGCCTTGCTTAGTCCTGGAAGATTTGACAGACGGGTATGTACGTCTATTCTCAGCTAGTGAGTATCGTGGCATATACTTGTGCATGGTATTGGTGGAACAGCCAGTCTCGTGGTGCATATGCTTACTTATAGTATCGATGCATAGAACTGTTGATGTTCCAAATATCCGGGGTAGAACAGAAATTCTGAAGTTTGATGCAGACAGGATCACTAGATGTTACAGCTATGAGAACTCCTGGATTTTGTGGAGCGGATCTTGCCAACCTCTTGAATGAGTCTGCTATATTGGTTGGCCAATGGGGGAAGACAGCAATCTCTTTGAAGGAGATTGATGATTCATTTGACAGGATTGTTGCTGGAATGGAAGAACCATGATGACAGATAGAAAGAGCAAGAGTCTGGTGGCATTCATGGGTGAGTGACAATGTTAGCAACTATCCTTTTTCTGGATTCTTCCCATCCTTTGTTGGGAAATTCTTTTGCATGGGTATCTCCTGTTTGTGATATTTATTTTACTTGGCTTGATATTCCAGTGCACATTTGATTTTTGTTTATTTAGATTGCTGAAATATTGTTAATATTTAGCTAGCACTAGAAGAAGCAATTGTTTCATTATCCTATCAGGTAGAAAACTTTCATCAGCTTCTCTTGTGCTGCTTCCTATGGACTTTTATCAGCTCGTGAGAGACATTGATGCTGTCATGAAGAGAATTTCAGATAGCGTGTACGAAATTGCACCATGTCACATAAGGAATAACCGGGAGGCCAAAGAAAAAGATTGTGGAAGTCCTCGAGAAGGAAACAATGACCGGGGATGAGTTCCACGCTATCCTCTCAGAGTTTGTCGAAGTTCCTACTGAGAACCAGGTTCCTCCTTCATTTCCATCTCCTGTCTTTGTATGAAGTGGCATTAGTCAGTCTCCAGCCTGCACTTCCTTCAACACTCCGTCATACATCATCAACTGATTAGTGAATGGAAAGTGACCTTTGGCTTTTAAGCCAGAATTATACTCATATGATGTCCCGGATGATAGAAGATTCATATATTGAGCTGTTCTTTTCTGTTAAGAACCTGTATACTTTGAGCATCAAATACGAACAGATTGCCTATAAATAATATAGGATTTCATGAACCATTTATATACAGCTTGTGTATTTTTTCATCTGGTGAGTTGAAATTTTTGGGGAAAAATGACATTTTCTTTTGTCGTGTTGACACCGTCTTTTTTCACGAGGAGGATGGCAAAACCTCGAGTTAGCTTTTCACTTGACAGCATACCATTGGAATGCTTTTGCCCAAGTGGTCACCGTTGGTTGTTTGTTTGTAAAACAAACAAAATAGTGCATTTTCCTTTGTCCCACATATGAAAGTTTTGAGAAAGTGGGCCACTTTATAACTGTGAATATCTTCTTGCTCTTTAGAGTGAAGACAATGGGGTGTGTGCTAGTCCACACAATACCCGCGTGCGGGTGCGCGATTATTAGGCGCACTTAGCACTAATCCCTTTATATTTTTATTTTATTTCGTAAGGTTATCTTATTAATTTTTATTATTTGAAAGGTTGTTTTTTTTGTTTATTAAGTAATTTTCGAAATTATGAAAATTCGGAATTATATATTTATTTATTTATTTTATTCCGAATTTTATATGTGTTTTTCCAAGACAACTTTTGGAAGATTATACTTGTTCAGTTTTCAATCTTTTCCAAAGGGTTGCATCTATTCAGTTTGCAACTTCTTGCAAAGGAATATCTTTGTTAGCTTTACAACCTTTCGTGAAGAGTTGCCAATGTTCTTTAAGACCGATTTCTATATATGTCAGTTTTTGGCAAGAAAGAAAAGAGAGATCAATTTCTTCAAGTCTTCTTTCGAAAACTACAATCATCATTTCTTTTGTTTCCTAGAGAGACCCTGGAGTTGCAACTTCTTGCAAAGGAATATCTTTGTTAGCTTTACAACCTTTCGTGAAGAGTTGCCAATGTTCTTTAAGACCGATTTCTATATATGTCAGTTTTTGGCAAGAAAGAAAAGAGAGATCAATTTCTTCAAGTCTTCTTTCGAAAACTACAATCATCATTTCTTTTGTTTCCTAGAGAGACCCTGGAGAAATACTAGAATTGCTATCTAGTATTCTCATTTTGAGACTTTGTTGTATCCTGGAGGATTTTTGCCGGTGACCATTAGCAACAATTGTGGGGCAAATAAATCCTTAAGGAAAGTGATATCACGCCTCAAAGTCCGACTTGATTGCTCTTTGATTCGAAGCCATTCAAATTTACAACAGTCACGAATCTGGGCAATCGGTTGATGGTCTTGTGTTCATTTACGACAGCAATGATCATTTTATCATCGTCACATTGGTGGATCACCTTAGAATTTCCAGAAACGGGGAAATTGTATTGAAGCATATCATCATCCGAGCATGTTTCTCCATGGTCAGAAAAGAAAAAAAGAAGCCGATACGCTGCAAAAGCATTGATTAAGTTGTGAAATGAAGTACAGACCAAAAAGAAAAAGTCGTGAAATGAAGTAATGTCCGGTTTGAAGAGCCTCATGTTATAAATACAAGCATTGACTATCGTATTTGGTGGACTTATAATCTTCGGTTCGCTCATATAGTAGATCTTCAATTAGTTTTTACCTTCGCAAGAGCCCAGCGATGACTCGGCGGGAGTTCAAATCACCAATGATTGCATGAAAATCACGTACCACACACTTCTTCTAACCTGCATAATTGACCATCACTTAAGTTTAGCAACTCAGCAAGGGAAGCTCCAAATGTCTAGGAAGCTATCTTATATGATCTTAACATGTGGAAACTTCATAATTCAAGCAGGGAAAGCTCCATTTAACAATAAGACAGAACTACTAAATAAGAAAAACAAGCCGTTCCGACTAAAGGGCGAAATCAAAGCAAACCTCCGCATTCAAGCGTAAAAAGCATTCACAAACCGTAATTTGCAGGCATCCAAAGGCCTTCCTTCTCATCTGTTTCGGATGTAGTAAGCCTTGTCAAATCGAAGAATTAAGTTCTGTGGCTAAATCAACACTTTGCTCCTGCAAATACAGAAAAAGCAACTTCAGTATGTCCCGATATGAGAGGTTATCAACTAAATACTTGATTATCGAATGAAATATTTAATCACAAAGACACTCTGAGCAAGAAAGCAATGGTCTATCTATAGTCCTGGTGCTCTGTCAATCCTTCCGGTGCTTAATCTAAAGAAGTTGGAGGAAGAAAGTAGTGGTCGACCTATTTCTTTTCATTTCCCTTCTTAACAACCAACGTGAAGTTCGCAGCGCGACTCGGATACCACTTGCCGGGTACCTCGAAGCAAGCGTGACGGCGGAGACTCGGAGAGAATTATAACGGGTGACTAAACACTCTAATATTTGAGAAAAGTACAGGGCTGTTGCAATGTTCACTCTCACCATACAAAATGAGTAGATTACTCCCACCAAACACAAGCTACTTTGACCAAATGCTCTAGCAAACACAACCTATTTTCCTATCGCTATTTCACTCAATATCTCAATTTAAAACCTTCTTATGAAGCTTTGCTCTGCAAGCTTCTCTCAACATAACTGAGCAGTCAACGATAGCAACACCAAGTATGCAAACGCTCGTAATTCCGTATAAAACGTGAAAATTGAAAAATTTTAGGAGCCAAAGGATTGCCATCACATGCAAATCCATTTTTTGCAATCGCCGAAATTGGAGAGGAAGAAATGACCAAAGATTTATATTTTCGGCTTAACTAATGTAAATTTCCCGCAAAACAAAATGGCCGCGATCTCTGATAACCGAGAATCATATCATTAGCGCTAAGAAGAAACATAAAAAAACCATTCTTAATTGGGTTGCTCGAAAATTACTGACAACTGCCAAAATCGATAGGAGACAAAGCAAGCGTCGATAAAGTATCCCAGATGGATCTCATCTAACTTTGGAGAATTTTCCCTATGACTTGAAGCTCGATGATGACGAACTTGAACCTCATGGTCCACGGAACTTGAGACTACGGCAGATGACGGACTGAATCGCAACGAGTATTGGGTGAGGAACGGCAAGAGCGGGCCATGGAGCGGCTGGGAGCGATTTACTGGAGAGGAAGAAGGAAGGAAGAAGACTAATCCCAACTCAATTTGGACAATTGATTCCAATTTTTCACTCAATTGCCAATTTTTGGACAAGATTACCCTTGTTCCAATCATCGGAAAAAATCATCGGACAAAGCGAGTTCAGACTCTTATTTGAGATTATATACGTCATTTCAAATTCTTATTTAAAGCAAAATTCATCTTTTTTATTTTTATTAAATGATCTCACTTCGAACTTCTATTTGAAATTTTCTTTAAAAAAAAACAGGAGTGGGGGGGACCTAACCCGGTTTAAGACGCCCACGAAGCACGAGCGTGACTGGACAAGCATACCAGTGGGACTCCCGAGCATCGTCGCTCCTTCCTTCGCTATTTTTTCCCTCTGCAACTTGAAGGTGGGGCCGGAGTTTCACCGATCGAGAGATGCCGGGGAGACGATCGGCGACCCATTCGCAAGCGTAAAGAAAATTTCCTCTCCCCTCTCTCGTTCCTTCCTCTCTGGTTGTCCTCTCTGCTTCTCCGCCTTTGGTTAGGTACGATTCTGATTAGGGGTTTGCGAAGCCGTGGTTGTTGGTGCTGCTCCGTGGGTGCTCCCGTTTTGCTTCTCAGTGCGGTTCTCTTTCTGCAGTTTTTGGCTGATGTGGGGATGGGATCCGATTTTCCTGCTCCTCCTCCTCCAAATTTTTTGAAAATTCTGCTTGAAAGGCTGTTTTAGATTGATCATTGATGGTCAAATTCGAACTGGGGAGTTGCTGGAATGATCTCCTTCCCTGCTATATGGGAGGAGGAGGAGGATCTAGAAGTGAGGGTCAATTCTGGGTTCTTATTTACTTTGCATTTGAATGGTTCTCCGGTCACGAGGAGGATGAGCTGGATGCACAGTCCCTAATGGTTGACTGAAAGAATGCGCGGGTTTCGGGTTTTTAGTATTTAGCTGTGACTTATGGAATTGGAATGCATCTTTTCCCCTGTTATTTTGCGCTTGTTGGTCGTAGTGAACTGTTTTACGAGAGAGTCCGGAGACTTGTGAATGATGTGTTCGATTTCATGTGCAGGTCGTATGAGAGGTTGCTGTAAGGATGTCAAGGCCGTGGCTCCTTGTTTTCCTGCTTTTGCTGATTGTGTTCACGTCTCAGTTCGAGTGGAAGCAACAATTCGGTAATGAGAATGACCTGACTCCGAACAAGTCGCAGAAGGAGCAATATGTTTCTGAAAGGGAAGAAACCGTGAAGGAAAAGGTGAGGACTCTATTTATGCTTCTCTTGTACTTGTATGTTTGACATTCCCATAATACTAACCAGAGAACGATTTTTTTAACACGTTTTGCAATTATTTATTATAAGAATCTTCTTTATTTCGATTTCGGATAGAAACATGCTAAAGTTCTTTCTTTTTGTACAATTACCTGCGCTATTTAAGTGGCAAGCTTCTTTCGATGCCACCACTTGCTTGACCTCCAACCCATGAGACCTCCTAGCCCGGGTAGTTCCCTCTATGCCACCACTGTAACCATAATAAAACAAGGATTGCGTATATGATAAAGTCATGGTTAAGGGAACTTCAGTTGAATATAGGTTTGCGGATTGTTTAAGAAATCCTCTATGATCTACACTGGAATTATCCTGATGACGAGTACAAAGCAGATTACGGATGATCAGTTTGAAGTACCGTCAGGAAATGAAAAGTAGCACATTTCTTTTTCTCAGGAAGAGCGTATAGCAAACATAGAAAACCTATTAAGCAAAATTTCGTCTTTTGGCTGTTGGAATAATTTCTTTCCCATGTAATAATGGTTTGGTAAGGTATAAACTAAAGCAAACCATGGATAATCATTCCCCATTTGTAATATCTCATACGACGGGTAGCCCATTTTGTTTTCCAGCAAACCACCAAATGCACTGTGTTTTCTTTTAATACCATCAAGTGAGAAGAAGATTGATGCTGCGTTTACAAGAACTTATAAGAACCAATTCCTCGAATGCCTCAATTTGGGTTCTATTAGTGACTTTATTATTAAGGATTCATCTATCTCATTCATATCAAAGCATATAATGGAACCGCTTGCATTTTGTTTGTGCTATGATATAATGATCTCAGAAGCTGCTGGCTGCCACCAGAAATGAAACGGCATTCCTCAAAGAGTTAGAAATTCTGGCATAACTCAACCTGTAAATTTCTTTCCCTAACATAAATCAGTGCTTGCTTCTCTGTCCTTCAATGGCCATTTCGTTGTTGGTGCGTATCCATGCATCTAGTGGATTTTGTGATGGATATCTTTGTATCTATTGCACATTGATAGCTCTGGTACCTAGCAGGACGATCTGGACATAACATATTTTCTCCATTTTCTTGGTCCACAATTGAATAATAACGGTCATTAGTCTTTTCCCTTCTTTGTTGGGGAATGGATTTGTGTTTGCATGGCTTTCGCTTCCCTTTTTCTTGCTTTATTTTTAGAGCAATGACTTTGATGAGGAGTGATAAGATTTTTCTCGGTTCCCACTCCCGACATGGGCACATGCACGTGCACACTTGACAAAACTCTTGTGTTGGGGTAGATCATAGATGAACATATGATCTTCTTTATTCTTTTTTTTTTTTTTGACAACTCATATTTTTTTACCATGATTAGCTTCCTGTGAGTTCTTGGTGTATTGTGCTCACTTCCTTTCAATTCGTTTTGCCTGTGTAGTGAAGTCTTGTGTCTGTAATTGCATCTCTTCACACAAGCATGTTTATGACTTGCCGGTTTGTATAGATTGTGTCCAAGACAATGAGAATATCAGTTCGGGTTGTGCGCAAGCTTGGTATTCGAAACGCATCAAAGTTGAGTGTACATGGGCGGTGGTTATTTCTAGTCCATTGCCTTAATGTGGGGGTTGCAAATGGGCAGTTCAATTTGGTTCTGTACTTTGAATTGAATTGAGCTGAAGTTTTCAAGTAGGGATTTAGCACTCGAAACCCAGAACTAAACTGAATGTCGAGGACATAGATAGTGTTAGAAAGCCCTATTGGAGAGCTTAACCTGTTAGGTGGAAAGAGATTACATGAATATGAGGGCCATTGAAATTCTGTATTCAACAGATGTGTGGAAACAGACATGATATAGACCTAGGACATGAAGGATAATGAACATCGTGTTATAAAGCTCCACCAAAAGCTTGGGTGAAGGAAGAATACCCAGTGAAATTCTGTTTTCAAGTGTTTTGAGATAACGCTTCAACTAACAGAACTGATCGAACCAGTTCAGTCCTTCGGTTTGTGAGTTTTGACCAGTTTCTACCCTCCCCTGGCCTCTCCCTTCCCATTTTCCTTCCAACTACTTTGTTCTATGAGAAACAACCCTTTCTTACTGTCTACTAGTAGGAGATAAACTCAAATCTTTCCAACTTAAATAATGCTTTTCAACTAGTTTTGGGGACTGCCAGCTGGAACTCTCCTTTGTTTTTGGAAGCTGTCTTCTGTAGTTAGCCAGTCAACATAATGTCATAGAGTGGAGATTAAGGACGACTGTGAATGTGAAGAGGATGAAAAAGAAGGCAAAGCCTGAATCGGCAACGCAAAGAAAGGACTTTACAAAGGCAAGTGCTACAGAACCCTACTATGAGGATGAATTGAGAGTACTGAGCTAAGGTAGAAAATAGAAGAAGAATGATAGGGTGTAGAAGATGATGGCAACGATGGAAGAGGTGTGATGTGTGATTGTGAGTTTTGGGTGTTTTTAGATTCGCTGATTACTGTTTACATATGGTAGAACATGGGACCTTTTTTCTTAATAAGTTAATCTGTTCAGTTCTGGCAAAAGGGTTTATCAAACCGATATTCTACAATTTAAATAGGCCCAGAAACTAATCAGGTTGGGGGGGAATCCGACTTTCTGGGTTCAGTGCAGACTGTTCAGTTTGGGCTTTTGTGTTTTTCGGGCATTTTGATATTTGTTTGATATTCTCTTCAGTTCTATCCTTTCATATTCTCTTCAGAAAACTTGGTAGTGTGCTTTCTATCCATTCTGTTCTCTTCCTTTCATATTTTTGGATAGCAAGAGCTGGGTATCATTAGTTTTCTCTTTTTAGCAAAAGTAAGGTTTGATTAATTGAATCGTCATATGATGGTTAATGTTATAGAGAGAGTACAAGTTTCTTATGAAACTTTTGGCCCATAGTAACAGAGTTTTTTTTTTGGTAAGGAATAACAGAGTTTATTTTGAGAACCATAGCATAAGTTAAATAGTGCTCTTGCCGCGTTATATGAAGAAATGACGATGTGTACACCGACCTTGTAGCTTCACCTGAATTACTAAAATTAGAACCGCTTCACTGGATAACTTCATAGAATGTGATGATTTAATGGACGATATTATTTACTCTCTGGTCTTTTCATCCAATATAGCTTTGGTGCTATAGATTGCGTGATTTATTGGAAAAAATACTGATACGATCATTGAAACTCTCTATGTTGTAATTTCATGTTGATTTGTTCCGATGTTTTATGGTATCAATCGATTTTTACATTTGTTAAGCGCCTTCTTCTTGGTTGACTTGTAGAGTGATTAAAGTATAAGGTTGATCTCCTCTTGAAAGGATTCACTTAGCTGTGGAGAGGGTTATTATTGATTTAATGTTACCTGATTTGATCTTTGCTTGAACTTGGTGACAGATTATCCTCTCTCAAGAGAAAACCATTCAGAAACTCAATGAGCTTGTCCAAACTCTCCGCCAACAGCTCCACCAGTGTAGGGGCGAAAATGATAGCAGTGGATCCTCTGGTCCTTTAACTGAAATACTGACAGAGCTTGATCGGCATCCAATCTTGGAGGACTAGTCATGTATCATTACTGAGCTTCATGATTGTAAGTAATTAACTCATTTATTTTCTATGGAAGCATTTTGTATGAGTGTGATTTACCATGCCATCGTTGGAGTTGATTGATGCAATTTTGCTTCCACAAAATCTAATGTATGTTAACTACATTCATTAATTTTCGGATCCTCATCTTGCTGAGCAATCTTGAGGGTGATATGTAGATTGAAACCGGTTATTTTGGTTCCAGAGTTTTATTTTTCTGTTTTCAGCGAACAGGTTTGAATATTGCTAGTTTATAAATGGTGTAAGATACTAGAGCTGCTCCATTGTCAAATTTAGATGAAAAAAGGTCAAGCTCCTCTGATGCTATTCAGATTGTTGTTTGACTACTACTTGGTCGAGTTAGAGCAGTTGAGTATTAAAGTCCAGTCAAACTTGAGCTCTATAAGTTTACACTAGCACTTCATCAACTAAGGAATTATTGTCTATGACTGTATCGTGTGGTAAAAACAATGAGAATCTATTTTAGTCCATTAATTAGTACTTTTCTCCTATTACATTTTCCAGTTGAGTCCTCTGAGTCATTTGGCTTGTGCAATGAACTCTTATTGCCACGTGTTATTTATTTCGTCAAAGTGTGGAGCGACATTTCTCAAGTGGAATCCTTCATGGATCAGCAATCTCTTAAATGTAATGCAGATCCATAGTTTGAACAATTTAGGTCTGCAGTTCTAAATGTCATGATTTCACATGTTAAAATCTGTACTTTCCTAGAGGAGTTCTATTATGAAAATGGCAAGCCGTTACTAAGGCTTCACTGGACAAATTGAAACACAACTCAGCATCATAGGAGATAGCAGTGACCACACTAATCCTTTTGTGGCCAACAGTAACCTTCCGTACTTTGGTCCCATCTGTTATTGAATGCATTGTCCTAAGGAGTTGAAAGACTGTCACGCGAATAACCATTCCATCAACTAGTGAGAAAATTCGTGTGAAAATCTCTCCCTCATCTGTCGTTGCATACCATCTAATGTCCTTTTGCTCTGTCACTGTGTACCAAAGACTTAATTCTATGAACATCTTCCAAGCCTCGACATGGGTTCTTATCAAGTATACAAGTCTGTACTGCTATTCATTCTCTTTGAAATTCATGAAGCATCTCTACCGAAGACTTGAACTGTTTGATGGTTTGAACCGGTTTTCATTCATCCTTATCAAAACCTCTTATCTGAATGTGTAAAAGATACAGATGTACCAAGGGAATTGCTATGCCATGCTTTGTTAGTAAAGAATAGAGGCGAAGGGAAGTGAAGGCGGGTGTGGAAGGTGGAGGAAGAGAGTTTCAAAAGTTCAATGTGGGCACTTACGTCTTGGCGTGCTTATTCACCGGTTCACTTCTCTTGGTCAACTTCAAAAGAACAAAAACGAAGTAAAATAAGCATCTCTTAAGTGCAAAGTGGAGGACTCTTTGGAGCCAAGTAAAGGTTGATAGCTGTAACATTTACTGTTTCGAAGCCACTCGATGCATCATCCGTATAAGCAGTAGATATATAACATCTCAATGTGGAAATGGGTCGTGATAATTGAACTTGTAAACTAAAATATCATGCTCGAAGTTTTTTATGTGGGCCAAATGCAATAAAGGCATGAACTTATTCTCGTAGGATGAAAATATTCTCCCTTTTCAAACGATCCAAAGAAGATGTAAAACTTTTTCTTGATGGATTAATGCCTAATGTGTACAATGGACATGTTAGAAAGGGGAAAAGATGTTTCTCGTGATTACAAAGTGACCTCTTTCCTGAGTCTTTAAAATCCATGATTCATTTGTTTTAGCAAAATAGAGAGAAAAACGAGCAATCATAATTTGAAGGGATGATTACTAAAAAAGTCATAAACCTATTGCACGGATACCAATTCAGTCGCAAACATTTCAATCGTCAATTTTGTCCTTAATCTTTTGATAATTGGCTAATGTAGTTATTCCAACCAATTTTGACTTGAAATCCTAATGTAGACTTTGGCCGTTCTACATGACGCAACAGACGCTAACATGAGCAACTTTTTAAAAAAAATTTGAATTGTTTATATTTTTTCTTTTTTTTCTGCAGATTTACTATTTCCTCTATTGGAATTATATTATTTTGCAAAATTTGCCAAGGGATCATTTAAGTTTAATAATTTTTAAAAAAGTATTTGGTGATTTTTTTTATTAGAAGATCTTAATTGGCATTGATTTTCGGTGAGCAATGTCAGCTAATTTAATAGTAAATTAATGATTTCAAATATGGATAATCACCGACGCAGCTTAAGTGATCAGTTTCTAAAAGTTACGAGATCGCTTGAAAATTTATGGTACTAAAGCAAGCGTCTTAATCCCTCACGTGTAATCTCATGTGAATAATGTTATTATATGGATGTCAGTGTCCTTAATGGGGAAAAGGAGAGAATGAATTTGAATGGAAAATTTTCTAAAATTTCTATGAGAAGAGAAGGGAGAGTAAATGTAAAATAATGGATGTTTTCTTTTCATTTTCTTCTCTCACGGTGCTTCCAGACATAGCATGGAAGAAACATAATAACGTTATGACCGAAAATAGACAAATCATGGCATGAAGTAGGTGCATCTTCGTATCAACTCTATTCATATCAACCCTCAAGTTAGGCCTTACATGAGATCCACATGATGAAGGGTAAAGGCGGACTTAGTAATCTCATCAAGAGTAAGAACATATCCGAGTTTAAGGACAACATAGGACATGATTATGTTAAGTAGACAGACACTATTTATGAGAAATCAAAAGATGAATTAATTTAAAAACTACAGTATTTGATGAAATATTGGAATTGGAATGCAATCTCTTTAGAGTCTGAATGTATGGTTTCAATTTGCTACATCTATAAGAAAATTAGTCAAGTGTCTTTACCATGTCAAAATCTATCCCCTACAATAGCTAATGATCCTTAACCCATATATCTACTTGACCTTCTTAATAACTTATTCTCACTCCTCTTCATTCATTCCCACCTCCCCCATGTTAATGAAAAGCTAACAAAACCACAATTCCATTCTCAATTCCCATTTTCATTCCATCTCACTCTAATTAGCCAAATGATTTCACGAAAGGGAAGCGGGCCTTTCCCATCCCGCCGGATTCATTCCCGATAACCAAATGAACATCAAGATTTTCACTCCTTCCAACCGTCGCCGATGGTGGACAACACAGTGACGCCTCCGGCATCCAATCTTTCTCTCTCTCGACAATTACCGCTTTCGTGAAATCTTACAAATTTCGCAAATTTCGCAAATGCAGCTCCTCCTCATCTAAGAACAACGTGGGGATCTCCTGTCCTTACCAGCAAAAACAACCAAATAAAACATCGATGCATCAAGGCTTGGGTCATCTTTCATCGTCAACTAGTGCCTTAAATGTAGTAGAGTCAAACAGGATCGGTTAGAGTAGTTTGGAAGAGTGATGTAAGTGATTGAAACAAACTTATTCGTATCCTTGCATTGTTCAACATCGATTTGTTGCCCTCATTTATTACCTCCTTTGAAAAACATGACTAATTGAGGAAGACAAGTTGTACTGTAGCCCTCGTTTTTGGGCATATTGTCCTCTGAACCCCAAAAGTCCACGTGAAACATTAATTCCTATGGCTACAAAACTTTGTATCGAATGAAAAATGATCCCATTACAAAGCATTATCACTTCAACTTCAAAACATCAAACCGTAGCCATTAGCTAAAGGTAGCTAAGACTCATTGACTTTCTCATAGAAAATTCGATGGATGTATTTATCATGATATGATGTTGATTGCATAATTCAAAAAGTTGATCTTGATAGCCAATTCTCTTAGAGAGAGATCCACAAATAAAAGGGGTCAAACTATTTTTCAATGAAATCGAAAGGTCAAAGATTTGATGAGAGTGATTTGCTATGGATAACCGCACCGAGTGGAGGTCTAGGAGGTCAACGATACAGCTAACTATTTCGTCTAATATATGGGAAGCTTGAAATTCAGTGGGATGGGTTTTTTTTTTTTATTGCCACCATAGAGATCAAGCTTAATATTTTTATGCAACTCTACATAGTTTTTGTACTTTTGTTTTGGCATTTCGATAAACTCTAAACACGTTGAACGCGCTGGAAATGTTCGCAACGTAACAAAAGTTGTTAGGTGTTCCTATTTAATGCGCGATGGGGTAAATAAAGTCGATCATATCTGAGGAGAATTCATTGCTATAATAATATTTCATGACCGCCGGAATCGTCTGCATCGTCATCTTTGTGTTGATGCTACTAGGGCTTCAAAAGGATTACTGATCGTTGTACTGTTCCTTATCTCTAGCATTATTAACTAATCATAATATAGACCGATCGTGCATGTCATAAAATATGGAAAAGGATTGTAGTTTGTTCTGTACATTAGCTTCGAGATTTCGAAAGGATCCAACTTACTCTTCGACCAACGTAATTCCTTCAGCCGAAAGCGGTTGAAAAACTATACCTTGACAACGAAGTCAGCTACTTCATTAACTTGGAATTACTCAGTTCCGATGCACATAATTGGGCAGTTTATCAGGAGCCTTGAAGTGTCCAACGCAATTCTTCCCACGCCATAAACTCACTCTTGCTTGATCATTGTCGTAATTGAATGAAAGACATACTCATTTCCGCGGCATATGTCCTCTTGACTTGAGAATATCTGCGGAGAATGCATCATTTTAGGAGTTAGGAGTTAGGGTTTCTCTCGAAGAGTGATTAGAAGAAACCAATTTGTTGAAACACTCGCTTGCACACTCTCAAACCGATAGAACTACATTTGTGTCATGCATGGCATCAAATGTCACCCGACTTTGGGTAAGCGAATATGTGGTCACTGTTCATAGGTTGATAAAGGGTGAAATCTAAGATTGACGAGAAAAGAAAAGAGAACTCTTGGATATCACCAAGAAAATTCAGCTGGTGAGAAGATAATGTATAGACTCAGCCTGTGGATGAGGTGGTGGACAGAACCAATCACAATGCGGAGACTATATAGTTTTTCTAATTTTTCGTGGACCAAGCATAGGTTTCACATATTCTCGAAAATCGATTAAGTTAGCCTATCAAATACTTGCCGGGGAACTTCCGGTAACATTAGGATGAGACCTAATACAAGATATGTAGTCGTACCCCTATTTCGTGGATAAGCGCAAAAGAAATCCAGAAGGCAAAAGATCAGAGTCAGGCAGACT